TAAAGATGCTCCTTCCATTTACCAGAATAGTAGAATGGCAGCGAAATAGCAGTGAGAAGTCCAGGGACTCAGGCCTACTAAAGATGATCCTGCATCTTCCTTTTGTCTGCGATAGCTGGCTGAGGCCCAGGCAAAACACACAATCAAACCCTTGGCCCTTGCCTGAGGAGGCACACACGCCATCTGTTTGTTGTGGAAAAAATCATTTCCATTTGTGAAGTTGAAAGTTGAAAGAGCCAGGGAGAGTTCAGGACACGGGGAAGGGCCAGACTGCAATCCCACAGCCTGCTATTAACACTCTCCTCTTTCCCTAAATCCTGCTTGCTCATATAAACACACACAGAGAGAGATCCTCCACTAGTCTTGCCACAATCTTAGCAGACTGCATAAGCTGGGAGAGAAACAGAGCAAAGATCAGGGTAGCTGTATCACAGTCCTGCTTTCTGACTCAAGCGAAGGAACCCCAACTTGAGCCAGAAGAAAGGCAGGCAGAGGAAGGGTGCCAAGGACAACCAGGAAACCCACTTGGTCAGATGAGAGGTGCCTTCATCCCCTGCCCTACCTTTGGGGGAAGCTGCACTGTAGAATGGATGCAGTTTGGCACCACTTTAACCACCAGGGCTCATTGATATGTGACCCTGGGAGTTGTAGTTGGGATTTGGCACCAACACTCTTCGACAGAGAAGGCTAAAGACCTTGCAAAGTTGCATTTTCCAGGATTCCACATCATTGAGCCATGGCAGTGAAAGTGAGAGCCACATCCATTCTATGGTGTAGATCAGGTATGGGCAAACTTGGGCCCTCCAGGTGTTTTGGACTTCAACTCCCACAATTCCTAGCAGCCTCGGGCTCCTTCCTTTTTTCCCTCAGCTGCTTAAGCAGCTGAAGGAGAAAAGTAAGGGGCCTGAGCAGGTCTGTAGCCAGGAATTTGATTGGGGGGGGGGGTTTGATTGGGGGGGGCTGAGTCTGAGTGTGAGAGGATCTATCCTAGAAACATTTTGTATCATTGGGATTTACTGAGCATGGTGATCAAATCATGATATGAATAAACATAACAGTTTAAATAATGTACCAGTAAGGCCTTCTCGCGGTTCACCCTGAGAATTTGGGGGGGGGGGCTGAAGCCCTCAAGCCCCCCCCCCCCCGCGCTACATGCCCTGAGCTCAATATTGGGATCACAAATAATTCAGCAACATGGAGGGCCCAAGTTTGCCCATGCCTGGTGTAGATGCATCTTTGGGTTGGGATGTAAGACACACTCATCTTGCCAAACCAAGAAAGACCACAACAGGGATCACCCACAAAAACACAGCATCTCCCCCAAAGCTCCCTACTCAGCTCCCCTTTCTGGAGTCAATATATTGTCAATCTTCCAGCCCTCAAAATTGGGATCCCATTAATGTCTCTTTGGTTTAGGAAAACTGTGAGGGGGGACAGTTTTTGGAGTGGGAGAGAAAACTGGGAGGGGTCAAGAGGGCTGGCTGAGTTCAAACAGAGGCCAGCTCTGCTCCATTTGGTTTCCTGTTAGTCGGGTGGGTCCTGACTTGCGTGAAGAGGAGAGTTCCTAAGTATATGAGACTCAGAGATCCCATTGCGAAGCTTCAAGTAGAGGAGACCCATTCAAGGCGGTGTTGAGTCAAGGCATCAGGAGACATCCCCCCACCCCGTATAGCCCCCCCCCACCTCTCCCATCCACAGGGTCGCCATAAGTCAAAGGTGAATCAAATTGCAGGAAAAGAGTTTCCAACTAAACATGAATAACTTTCTGATGGAATATACTGCCTCTGAGTGGGAGTTTTTTAAGCAGAGGCTGAATGGTCATCTATTGGGAGTGCTTTGATTATTATGTGTCCCCACATGGCAGAATGGAGTCAGATTGGGTGGTCCTGGTGGTCTCTTCCAACTCTACAATTCTATGTCTATGGTGACCCTGTAGGTGGAGAAGATGCACAGATCTCTGTAGGAAAGTCATTTCCAAACTTAATGTGATGAGGAGGTTTTTTTCATGTCAGAAGTAACTTGAGAAACTGCAAGTCGCTTCTGGTGTGAGAGAATTGGCTGTCTGCAGGGACATTGCCCAGGGATGCCTGGCTGTTTGATGTTTTACCGTCCTGTTGGAGGATCTTCTCATGTCCTTGCATGGGGAGCTGGAGCTGACAAAAGGGCCTCACCCCGTCTCTCCAGATTCCAACTGCCAGCACAAGGGTTTAATCCATTGCATTACCAGGGGCACAGGCGAAGAGGTAAAAAGTGAGGAGGAGGAGGAAAGACTAGTTCACCACCAAGTTTCCACATTTAACCCAACCTCATTTCCTTTTATTCTAGCTCGGGATCTTTCCTCGTTCTTGCTGGGATCTCCCCCCAGCTCCAGTTCTCCTTCCATCCAGTCCAGACCCCTTCCCCTTTATGTTTTCTATTTTCCTCTCATTCGCCCCCAATGTCCATGTCCCAGAACTGAAGCCCCACACGAATCAGTAAACTTCTCTCTATTCTCCACCTCAATCCCCCCAAAACACCCAGCTATGCCCACCCCCACGACAACCGAACCCCTCTTTCTATCCAAAGTCCTGAGGAACCAAAGAGGACTGTAAACTCCTCTCTATTCTCCATCTCAAGCCTCAACCCAAAAACCACCCAAGCTCCCCCCCCCCCTACAACGGGGTTCCTCTTTCTATCCAGGCCCCTCTTTCCCCTCAAACCCAGTCTCGTATCTTTCCTCAATCCCTCATTCCGCCTCCCAGCTACGAGGGTTGAAGACCCACACGAGACAGGAAACTTCGTTCTATTCTCCACCTCAATCCCCCCCCCCATAAAAACACCCAGCTATGGCTCCCCCCAATACAACCAAGCCCCTCTTTCTATCTCTTTCTGTCCCAGCTCCTCTTTTCCCTCCAACCCAGTCTCGTATCTTTCTTGAATCTCCTCATTCGGCCTCCTGCCTGCTCCGAGGATTCAAGACCCACACGAGACTATTCTCTATTCTCCACCTCACCGCCCCCGCCCCCCAATAAACCAAAAAGAAACCAAATAGCCAGCCACGGCTTCCCCCAAACCCCTCCCCCCACCCCGCAAGTCTCTCCTTCCAGATTCCACCTAAACATAAGGAAAAACTTCCCGACAGTAAGAGCTGTGGAAGATGTGGCTTGTTTCGGAGTCTCTGGGTTGTTGTCTTTTAAGCAGAAGCCGGGTAACAACCCGTCTGGAGTGCTTTGCTTGAGTGCATGGGCAAACTTGGGCCCTCCCTCCAGATGTTTTGTGCTTCAGCTCGGCCCCTCAGACCCTTTCCTCCCCCCCCCCCAGCCGCTTCAGAGGTTCCCCCTAAAGATGAAGAACGTCCCGATGGTCAGGGCTGTTGGGCAGTGGAATATGCTGCCTCTGAGTGTGCTGGAGGTTTTTAAGCAGAGGCTGAATGGCCATCTGTTGGGAGTGCTTTCACTATTATGTGGGTGAAAAAGAAAGGGGCCTGAGGCTGTGAAGAATCGTGGGATCTGAAGTCCAAAACACCTGGAGGACCCAAGTTGACCCATGCCTGCTCTCGAGAATCCTTGAGTTGGCAGAGACCAATGCTACCTGATTCTGCCCTGCGGGAAGACACAATCAAAGATAGCCAACCATCCAGGGCAGCAGAAAACAAGCTTGCTCCCTTCTCAGGAGGAGGTAGCATGCTTGTTTTCTGCTGCCCTGGAGACTAGGACACGGAGCAATGGCTCAAAACGACAGGAAAAGAGATTCCACCTGAACATGAGGAAGAAGTTTCTAACTGTGAGACCTCTTCCCTAGAACAATGGCTTCAAACTATAAGAATGGAGAGATTCCACTGAAACATTAGGAAGAACTTCCTAACTGTGAGAAGGGCTGTTCAGCAATGGAACTCTCTGACCCGGAGTGTGGAGGAGGCTCCTTCTTTGGAGGTTTTTAAACAGATGCTGGATGGCAATCTGCTGGAGGTGATTTGAATGCGATTTCCCTGCTTCTTGGCAGAAATGGGTTGGACTGGTGGCCCATGAGGTCTCTTCCAACTCTAGGACTCTATGATTCATCCAGCCTCTGCTTAAGGAGACTATCCTCCAAGGTGGCTTAAAGCCGGGAAGCTCTTCCTAATGGGAGACTATCTCTCCTTGTGGAAACCTTCCCCTTCCTTCCTTCCTTCCTTCCTTCTTTCCTTCCTTCCTTCCTTCCTTCCCAGCCACCCACGAAGCAGGTGAAAATGAGAAGCCCTGGAGAGGGGCTGCGGAGACTACTTTTCACCTTCCCCAAGGAGGGAAGAGAGAGAGAGAGAAAGAGGGAGAGATAGAGGGAAGGGGAAAGAAAGACGCGCGCTGCCTTCCTTTATTCCTTCCTTCACGGGAGAGAGGCCGTGGGGACTACTTATCGCCTTCCTCAAGGAGGAATGAGAGAGAGAGAGAGAGAGAGAGGAAGGAGGAGGAGGAGGAAAGAAAGAGGCGCGCTGCTGCCCGCGCGTTCCTTTACTCCTTCCTTCCTTCCTTCCTTCCTTTATCTGCGGAGAGTTAAGGTAGGTAAAGCTTTCCCCCTTGACATTAAGTCCCACTGGGGGTTGGTGCTCAGCTCCATTTTTAAGTCGAAGAGCTGGCGTTGTCCGTAGACACCTCCAAGGTCATGTGGCCGGCATGACTGCACGGAGTGCCGTTACCTTCCCGCCGGAGCGGTACCTATTGATCTACTCACATTTGCATGTTTTCGAACTGCTAGGTTGGCAGAAGCTGGGGCTGACAGCGGGAGCTCACCCCGCTCCCCGGATTCGGACAGTCAACCTTGGGGTTAGGAAGTTCAGCAGCTCAGCGGTTTAACCCACTGTATCACCCACTGTGATACCTGTCCCGCGGAGACAGGTTAGCAGAAGCTAGGGCTGACAACGGGAGCTCACCCCTCTCCCAGGATTCGAACCAGCGACTTTTTGGTCAGCAAGTTCAGCAGCTCAGCGGTGTAACCCACTGTGCCACGTGGGGGGGGAGGGAAATACCTGTCCCGCGGAGCCTTACCTGTCCGATATTGACGTATCCGTACTTGCTGGCGATCCGGTTGGCTTCTTGGATCCCGCCGGCGATGCGGACGGCCCAGTGGTTGGTGTAGAGGCGGGCCCGGCAGGCGGGCACCAGGCAGCCCAGCAAGAGGGCCAGCAGGCAAAGCAGGTCCCCGCCGAAGCCTCCCCGGCACCGGCAGACCCGCTTCCAAATCATCGCCTCGGGCTCCCCTGCTCGCCTTCCCTCGCTCGCTCGCTCTCTCTCTCGCCCAGGTGCTGCTGGAAGAAGGGGACACTCCAATCCCGAGCCACGAAACTTTCTTCCTCCCTTCTTTCCTCCCTTCGCTCTCTCTCTCTCTCTCTCTCTTCTCCGAGGCTCACCTTTGGGCACCTCTGGCAGCAGCAGCAGCAGCAGCAGCCTTCCCCAAGCCTGGCGCTTTCCCTCCCGAGAGAAAGTTATCTCGAGCCTGCGAAGAGCACGGGAAGCTTCCTCGGTGGGTCGAAAGTTACGATCCTTCCCTTTCCTGCCTCTCGGTCACTTTCTTGGGTCTCTTGCCTTGCGCCATAGAGGGAGAAGGAAGCGAGATGGGGGCTGCGATGGGGGCTTTCTCCCTCTCTTTCTTGGCTTTCTTCTTTCTTTCTGCTCCCTTGCCCAGAGGAGAAGCAGCAGCAGGCGCGGCGGCAGGCGGTGTGTGAGTCTTGGCAGCCCAGCGCCTCGGCTCAGGCAGGCTCTCTGTGTGTGTGTGTGTGTGTGTGTAACCTCCCTCTTTCCCCCCTCCTTCCTCCTCCTCCTCCTTCTCTTTTTTCCCTCTTCTTCTTCTTGTTTCCTCCCCTGGAAGCGGGGAGTGCGGAGAGCGCGAGTGGAAATGGCAGCGGCCCTCTTCTCTGCAATAGAAGAGCTCCTCGACTCCCCCTTCCGACAGAAGCCCGCCGGGTCCTAGCGCTTCCCTTACTCAGTATGCCCAAATGTGAACACTGATGGAATTTGGGGAACATAGATTTGACATTTGGGAGTTGTAGTTGGTGGGATTTATAGTTAACTTACAATCAATGAGCATTCACCAACTATGGAATTGAACCAAACTTGGCACACAGAACTCTCATGACCAACAGAAAACATGGCTCTCAACCTTCCTCATGCCACGACCCCTTAATACAGATCCTCATGTTGTGGTGACCCCCAACCATAGCATTATTTCCGTTGCTACTTCATAACTGTAATTTTGCTACCGTTATGAATCGCCATGTAAATCTCTTGATATGCAGGATGCATTTTCATTCACTGGACCAAATTGTGCACAAATACCCAATACGCCAAAATTTGAATACTGGTAGGGTTGGGGGGTGGTTATTGATTTTGTCATTTGGGATTTATAGTTCACCTACAATCAATGAGCATTTTGAACTCCACCAACAATGGAATTGAACTAAACTTAGCACACAGAACTCCCATCACCAACAGAAAATACAATCTGGAAGGGTTTCATAGGCATTGAGCTTGAGTTTTGGAGTTGTGGTTCACCTACATCCATAGAGTGCTGTGGACTCAAACAATGATGGATCTGGACCAAACTTGGCACGAATACTCAATATGCCCAAATGTGAACACTGGTGGAGTTTGGGGAAAATAGAGTCTTGACATTTGGGAGTTGTAGTTGCTGGGATTTATAGTTCACCTACAATCAAAGAGCATTCTGAACTCCACCAACAGTGGAAGTGAACCAAACGTAGCACACAGAACTCCCATGACCAACATAAAATACTGGAAGGGTTTGGTAGACTGGGAGTTGTAGTTCACCTACATCCAGAGAGCACTGTGGACTCAAACAATGATGGATCTGGACCAAACTGAATACTCAATATACCCAAATGTGAACACTGCTGGAGTTTGGGGAAAATAGAACTTGACATTTGGGAGTTGTAGTTGCTGGGATTTATAGTTTTCTTACTATCCAAGAGCATTCTGAACCCCACCAATGATAGAATTGGGCCAAATTTCCCACACAGAACCCCCATGACCAACAGAATAAATAAAAATACTGTGTTTTCTGATGGTCTTTGGCGACCCCTCTGACACCCCCTCACGCCCCCCCGGGTCCCAACCCCCCCCCCCGGGTCCCGACCCCCAAGTTGAGAAACACTGACCTATAGAATCATAGAATCCTAGAGTTGGAAGAGACCTCGTGGGCCATCCAGTCCAATCCCCTGCCAAGAAGCACCCCTGAAGCAGATGGCCACCCAGCCTTTGCTTAAAAGCCTCCAAAGAAAGAGCCTCCATCACACTCTGGGGCAGAGAAATCCACTAGGGAACAGCTCTGACAGTTAGAAAGTTCTTTCTCATGTTCAGGTGGAATCTCCTTTCTTTCCTGTATTTCGAAGCTATTGTTCTGTGTCCTAGTCTCCAGGGCAGCAGAAAACAAGTTTGCTCCCTCCTCCCTATGACTTCCCCTCCCATATTTATACATGGCCATCATGTCTCCTCTCAGCCATCTCTTCTGCAGAGTAAACATGCCCAGTTCCTCATAGGGCTCGTTCTCCAGACCCTTGAACATTTTAGTCGCCCTCCTCTGGACACATTCCAGCTTGTTGATATCTTCCTTCAATTGTTGTGTCCACAGTATTCCAGGTGTGTCTGACCAAGGCAGAATAGGGAGGAAGCATGACTTCCCTGGATCTTGACACTAGACTCCTTTATGCAGGCCAAAATCCCATTGGCTTTTTTTGTTGGCTCATGTTTAAGCTGCTGTCCATGAGGACTCCAAGATCTTTTTCACACGTACTGCTCTTGAGCCAGGCATTGTCCCCCATTCTGTATCTTTGCATTTCGTTTTTCCTGCCTAAGTGGAGTATCTTGCATTTGTCACTGTTGAACTTCATTTTGTTAGTTTTGGCCCATCTCTCTAATCTGTCAAGATCGTTTTGAATTCTGCTCCTGTCCTCTGGAGTATTGGCTATCCCTCCCAATTTGGTGTTGTCTGCAAACTTGATGATCATGCCTTCTAGCCCTTCATCTAAGTCATTAATAAAGATGATTACATAGGAAATCCTGGAACCTGTTTGAAGCTTTGGATAGCATAGAGAAGGGTGAGCACCGCCGTGGGGTTTGTTTTGCTGTCTGCACCTCTGTTCAGAAGATTTCACCTCACCTTCTGTCCCTGAGATAATCGGATTTTGGATAACAGTTCTTCCTAATGTTCAGGTGGAATCTCCTTTCATGTCATTTGAAGCCATTGTTCTGCATCCTAGTCTCCAGGGCAACAGAAAACAAGCTTGCTCCCTCCTTCCTATGACTTCCCCTCACATATTTATAATGGCTATCATGTCTCCTCTCAGCCTTCTCTTCTTCAGGCTAAACATGCCCAGCTCTTTAAGCTGCTCCTCATAGGGCTTGTTCTCCAGACCCTTGAACATTTTAGTTGCCCCCTCTAGACACATTCCAGCCTGTCAACATCTCCTTTCAATTGCGGTGCCCAGAATTGGACACAGAATTCCAGGTGTGGTGTGACCAAGGCAGAATAGCATGACTTCCCTTGATCTAGACCAGGGGTCCTCAAACTAAGGCGCGGGGGCCGGATACGACCTCCAAGGTCATTTACCTGGCCCTCAGTCAGGATCAACCTAATTCTGAAACAACTTGAAAGCACACAAAAACAAAAACAACAACAACAACAACAATCCTATCTCATCAGCCAAAAGCAGATCCACACTTCCCATTGAAATGCTAATGAGTATATATTTGTTAAAATTGTTCTTCATTTTAATTATTGTATTGTTTTAAAGTATTTTTTGCACTACAAATAAGATATGTGCAGTGTGCATAGAAATTCATTCATTTTTTTCAAATTATAATCCGGCCCTCCAACAGTTTGAGGGACTGTGACCTGGCCCTCTGTTTAAAAAGTTTGAGGACCCCTGATCTAGACACTATACTCCTATTTATGCAGGCCAAAATCCCATGGGCTTTTTTGCCACTGCATGAGATTGGTGGCTTATGTTTAACTTGTTGTCCACAAGGACAACAAGGCAGAAAAGGGGAGTCTTTTGCAGGCAAGAGCCCACTGGGTGGTTTCCGAGAGCAGACAGAAAAAAATCCACCAAAAAGTTTTTTTCCTCCAAGATATTTTTTAAAAAATGAATTCTTTTTAATATTTTATTTATTTATTTAATCCTACCTTCCCCTCCACATAGGAGAGGCATAGGCAAACTTGGTCCCTCCTGGTGTTTTGGAGCCCCCGGCAGTGCAGCAGGTTAAACCGCTAAGCTGTGGAACTTGCTGACCAAAAGGTCGGTGGTTTGAATCTGGGGTGCAGGGTGAGCTCCTGCTGTTAGCCACAACACCTGCTAACCTAGCAGTTCAAAAACATGCAAATGTGTGTAGGTCAATAGCTACCACTTCTATGGGAAGGTAATGGTGCTCCATGCAGTCATGCTGGCCACATGACCTAAGAGGCATCTACAAACAACAATGGCTCTTCAGCTTAGAAATGGAGATGACCCCCCCCCCCCAGAGTCGGACACAGACTTAATGTCAAGGGGAAACTTTTACCTTTCATCTTTCTCTCCATATAGGGCAGACATAGGCAAATTTTGACCCTCTCTCCAGGTGTTTTGGGCTCCAACTCCCACAATTCCTAACAGCCTCAGGAAGAGAGGCTGACCAAGGGAAAGATGGGTGGATGCTATTCTTGAAGTGACTAGCTTGATCTTGAAGGAGCTGGGGGTAGTTACGGCTGACAGGAAGCTCTGGCGTGGGCTGGTCCATGGGGTCACAAAGAGTTGGAAGTGACTGAATGAATAAACAACAACATTAGACTAGATGGCCACATGGGCCATCTAGTCCAACCCCCTGCAATGCAGGAAAAGCCCAATCAATGCACCCTCAACAGATGGCCATCCAGCCTTTGCTTAAAAGCCTCTAAGAAAGGAGCTTCAACCACACTCTGAGGCAAAGAGTTCCGCTGTTGAACAGCTCTTCTTGTGGTCAGGAACCTCTTCCTAATGTTCAGGTGGAATCTCCTCTCCTGTAATTTGAACACATTGCTCCAAGTCCTGTAAGTCAATGGTAATCGTAATATAATAATAAAAAATTATTTCTAGACCTCACTCTAGGGTAGTTTACACACACAAAGGGACTCAGGGTGGTTTACACACACAAAAGGCAAGTATTTGATTCCTCAGGTGAGTACAAACATAACAAAATAATGCACAGTAAAGCAAAAGTAATAACAGTGAGCTTACGTCATTTTGTGATGAAAAATAAAACAAAACAATCTGATAAGACATAGTTAACTAAAACATATGGTAAATAAACATTACTACAGATACCATAAAAACAATTTAAAATACAGCTACATTAAAAATGGCTGGTGCAAGGGTTCATTTGAAATGCAGCATGGCAGCCATATAGTACAATGTCATTAAAATATAGAAATTTTTAAAAGCAACCTGTTTACCTTATTTGGGGGGGGGGGGGTAATTTTTTCCATTTAAAAACACATTTTGAAAAAAAAATAACGTGTTATTTTTTCCCCCGCCTTTCTCCTGATATAGGGACTCCAGGCGGTTCTCAATACATATAAAGCAATGGTAATTGAAAGCAATGTGTTGAAATAAATGTAGCATTTTAAACAAAAAGAATCCAACTATATTTGTCATTAAAACCATTAAAAAGTATTAAAACTTTGTGCACACCTTAAAATTCTAATCTTTTAAAAACCTGACCCTCATCACTTTATAAATGCCTGAAGGTAAAGCAATGTTTTTGCCTGCTTAAAACAGACAAGCAGGGATGGGGCCATCCTGAACTCTCTAATTTAATTTGATCTACACTGTAGAGTTCATGAAGTTGGACATCATTTTAATTACTACAGCTCAATGGTATGGAATTATGGGTGTTGTAGTTTG